GTCTCATCCTTCATTAGAAATAAATCGCCTGAATAGTTAAGATCAAAAATGTCTGGCCTCTCTGCTCGATCTTTATATATGTCTTCAGTTTCTATCCGCATGATGAGTGAATCTGTGTCTGTATAAAGTAGACGGGATTTATCTCCATAGCAAGGCTTTATGTAACCGTACCAAAAGTTAAACATCATGGCCTTGCTAATGTCAAGAATTGCCTGCCCTATATAGATTGGTTTATTTAGTGTTACTGTGCTCTTTAACATATGGACTGCTGTAATACCTCTCTCAAATTGCTTGAAGCCTACAAATAATGGCAAACTTACTAATCGCCTAATTTTTTTATCCTCTTCTGTTTGTAGTAGTTCTACTTTTATATGTTTACGGACATTCTCCATCTGCTTGCCAAAGACTACATTTATTTTTTAGCTTATAATACATGACCCCAAACTCATCCCTATTTGCCTTGGCTATTTTGCGTTTACGAATATTTTCCTCAATATATTCCTTTATTCACAGAGACTGCCTAAACTTGAGAGCACTATGAATCTTTGTAACCTTCATTCCGAACTTCATATATGTCTGGAAAGCTTGGTAATGAACTATATAATTCTTCTTAGTAAAAAGGGTCTGAACTAGCTTTTCTCCAGATACATATTTCCCTTCTCCAACATTTTTATCACGCACTAATATTTCATTGTATAGACTAAGCCAGTTTTCTGGTATTATCTGCTTTTCTGGCGCTAAAGGATAATCTGCAAAGTAATCATGCAAGTGCACCGGGGCTTCTAAATCAACTTCAAGTGTATAGCCTATTTCTGTATCTGGTGCAATACTTTGGATGTCGGGTACTTCCTCTGGACTTACCTTACCTAGGATTTCTGTAGGCATGTATTGGGTCATTGCACCTGAATATAAGGCGTTCATATCTTCATATAAGACCCAGGACTTCGGCTTGCTGAACTTATAGTTTGGACATTGCAGATTATTTGCTTTGGCATATTTATGACATGCCATTGTCATTCCTCCACGGATTCCATTTTTAACTATCAGATACTCATCCATATCTGTCATAAGCTTAAGTTCTACCCCACTACTTTTGTATAGAGAATCGTTAAACATTCCAGGTGCAGAGACGTAGTGAGATGGATCTAGACCATTGTCTTTAAGACACATTATAGTATAATTTATGAAAACATCTGCAAGTAAAAGTACATCAGTCTCAAAGATAAAGGTCATGATATTCTCCAAAGTTCTTTATCTCGAATATTTGCCATACCTTTTGTGCATGTTCGTAATCCTCTTTACTAATATTTTGTTGACTAAGAAGTGAATAGAAATCCGTTTTAGACGGGAGGCTTGTTCTGTCGAATTTTTCTCATGCATTTGTCCAGTTATATAGAAAGACACCCTTTCGAAAAAGAAGCTTAATCTTGTCTATTGAATAGCCTTTTTCAGTAAAATACTTAATACTTAAGGGGAATTTTTCGATTTTCCCCCCTAGGCATTCAACCAATTTATCTAGCCCCATTCCCATATGCTGAAAGCTATCTAAGAACCGAAGCTGTCCTAC